AACGCAATTGACTGAAAACATTAATTTTGAGACGCACATTTGCTGAGCTCGAAAAACCCGGATTTTGGCTCTGTTCTATGAAAAATTCAGCTCTTTTAAAGGTACGTGTCTCCTTAGGTTGAGTAAGTGTACATTTTGAAAAATGAGATTGATGAATTGACTGAAACCTAAAATTCTCCCTCAGCACATCAACTCCCTAAAACGCTTACACTAAAAGCACCAGAGGAAACGTGGTGTCTTCATACTCTCTCAGAATAGCTGGCAGGTGCATTCGCACCTGAGCCTTGTAGCCAAACTCCATCTCAACAATTATATGCTTCATCTGGGGCTTGGAGAATCTCTTCAGGCGCTTCCGCAGCCTGGAACTGCTGTCCAGAATGGCCAGTCGCTCATAGGACGAAGTCCTGGCTAGAGTAACAATAGGAATTTCTGGTCCCAAACATTCCTGTATGAAATAAGTGGAATTGTTGCCGAAAACAACGTTGTTGTATTCACATCTGTAGTTCAGCCACAGATTGTTGTTCAGTACGGTTTCGTTGTAACAGAACGGTTCGGTACTGTTCCAGTCCATATCAGAGACACAAGTTACACATTCCCAAATGGGCAAAGAGTTTTTGTCGGTTATTTTAATGAGGTGCCGCGATCCAGGGTTTTGTTCAATAGTTCCAATGGCATTTCTGGAAAGCACCACACTATGAAGAAGAAAAAGATGAGGTGGTACTCACATAAACGAATTGTCTTCATCCCAAATTAGTACCTTGACGATCTCAAGGGCGCCATGAGTCAAAGGCATCAGTCGGCCTTTGTAAATTTCGCAAACATGCATATAATTATATATAATGTATATAATATAATTTAGCGAATGTTGCATGTTCTCGCACAATTGCACTTTATAGCTTAAAATGTCGGAACTACCCAACTTTTAACGGTTTCGTAGTATCAAAGTGCATTAACGTTTTCTTTGAGAAATTCGCATCTTTGAATTTGAGCAAGTAGCATCGTGTGTTAGACAATAGTTGGCTAGTTGGGAAATTTCGATGTGGATCTCAAAATTGATGATTTTGTCTTACAGCGTTTCGGTCCTAAAAAACTATCTAGAGCGAGTAGCAGTTTGAAAAATTTACCATTTTCAGAAAACACACCATTTCACAAGAAAAGTTCAAAATCCAAATTTTGCTCAGCTTGCCATACTTTCAAACATTCCTCTACTAATCCAGACTAACTCAAATGTGTGCAAAACAACCCAATCTAACAGAAGCTGACCCAAGCTAACCCAAACTGAGCTAAACTACCCGAAATAAACCCAAGCTAAAACATACAGCAAAAATAAAGTTGATAGCTACTGAAACCTTTAAACCCTCCCTTAGATCCAGATCTCTGCTGTGATGTTGCCCAGATCACGTCGACATTGGCTGGCTTTGATAACTCGCTTCCATTTGCCAGATGCCCCACCTGCGTGAAAAACATCCAGAGATTCTTCTGCGCCTTCTCCTGCTCACCCTTGCAGTACTACATGACTGCTGACTACAAGGTGGCCACCAACGCAGCAAATAAAGGCATCCGGCAACACTCCAAGGGCGTTAAACGAAATTAACTGTAGCTGTTTGCAGAATACGCCTCCGAAGTGGTGCTGTATGCGAGCAATACAACTCTGAGCGATATTTACCAGTCGTGCAAAGATGTTTCCCTACCCAGTACTGGGGAGCCAGTTCTTCAAAGCGCTTGTGGAAACTACGGCTCGATCTGGTGCACTCCCAAGAGGTTTTGCCTCCAAAAACTCCAATCTATTTGTTGGTAATTCGATCGGTTCCAGGTGGTTTGAGTATATGAACGATCCAGATGAAAACCCATTTGCGCCGTTTAAAATCACCTTTATTGACGACCCGTCCTATGAGAGTCCTTTGGACTTTCGCGTTATTTCCTGTGAGGACTCTTATGTAAGTACCTGATTCAACTGGACTGGAGATGGTGATCAATGCAAATTGCAGGAAAACTCTTCTGCCTGTGGCTGCTCTGATTGCCCAGTGAACTGCCCGAGCAACAGCTACGAAGACATTGATGTGCAGCATCTGATTTTTTCCGATATCAACATCTACGCGTTTTATGTTGCTATTGGTCTGGGGTGTTTGGGGATTTTCTCCTTTCTCATTCTCCTACTGGCTTCGAGAATTCTCAGCTCTACCTCCAGTGGTAAGTGAACATTTTGGAAACCGCTCACTAGTTAAACTGGCATGTTCCAGCAGCAACTAAAAACAAACTTGATGTAACCATCCAGGAAAAGGTCCATGGGTTTCTGTACAGATTCTTCAGGGCTTGGGGAGTTGGTAAGTCGAAGACCCACTCCTAGCTGCAGCAAGTCAACCAACTGCTCTTTCAGCTATGGCTTCAAGATGGCACTTGGTGCTTCTGCTGAGCATTGCGGTGGCTGTTGTCGCCTCATGTGGCATTTTTTACTTGAAAGTAACCACTGATCCGATAGAACTGTGGGCTTCGCCCAGCAGCAGAAGCAGGAAGGAGAAGGACTTCTTTGACACCTATTTTTCCCCGTTCTACCGGACGAATCAGGTGTTCATCCGGGCGGCTTCCATGAGCTCGGTGAGGGGCATTTTCCCCCAAAAAACGCGTAACTAAGACAATGGTTTCAGTTCTATTTCAGCTCTAACTATGGAGGGGACATTATGCTGGGACCCGCCCTGGACAGCACGTTTTTGGAGGAAGTCTTCAAGCTGCAGAAGCAGATAGAGAATGTAAACTACTGTCCATTCAGTTCGCTGGCGCGGATGCTGCATAGTTGTTTATTTAGATTACGGTGGAAGTTGAGGGCGAAACCATCGGACTCAAAGACATCTGCTACTCTCCCCTGCGAACTCCGTTTTATGGGAGCCGATCAATTGACGAATGCACTGTGATATCGCCACTGGGCTACTTTGGAAACAGCATCGAGACGTACAAGAAGGACATTAAAAGCAGCACGGAGAAAATCATCGGATGCCTCCAGTAAGGTGGCTAATTATCGAAATTACCCAATTTTTAATCAAAAGTTTGTCTTAGAGCTCCCACTGGATTAAATTGCTTGGCCCCCTACGGGGGCCCGGTTATTCCAGGAGTTGCGATGGGAGGCGCTAAACAGCAGGACCATTTGGATGCTGTCGGAGTTACCCTCACTTTCATAGTGACAAACAAGCAGGATAAGAGCGAACTTACCGGAGCTTTGGCTTGGGAGAAAAAGTCGAGGGCTTGTTCTTCGCGGGGAGTTTTTTACTGAAAGTGTTCTTGTAGGTTTGTGGACTTTATGCAGGAATGGGATGCTTCGGAAGATAAGCCGGAGATCTTGGATGTGGCGTTCAGCGCTGAGCGCTCAATTCAGGACGAAATCGAGCGACTGTCCAAGTCGGAAATCACTACTGTTGTCATCAGCTACTTGGTCATGTTCACTTACATTGCCGCCTCTTTGGGGAAAATCGTTAAATGGCAGGAAATGCTGGTAATGTTTCAGGAAACAAAAGTTTCAATTTTCCAAGAATCGACTTATTCCAGCTGGAGGCTAAACTGGTGTTGGGAATTGGGGGCATTTTGATCGTTCTCTCCTCAGTTAGTTCGGCGGTTGGACTGTGCTCGTACTTTGGAGTAACCACCACAATGTTAACTTTGGAAGTCATTCCGTTTCTTGTCCTCGCTGTAGGCGTGGACAATTTGTTCATTGTGGTGCAGGCCCATCAAAGGAAAACCAAGTGAGTTGCGATCCAGTCAAACTGGGAAACGATTTTTTGGGGTTTCATGGCCCATTTTCCAGGATTCCCGATCAGACAGTGGCCGAATCAATAGGCGACACTTTAGGAGCAGTGGGGCCTAGCATGATGATGACTAGTTTATCCGAAATTTTGTGCTTTGCTATTGGTAAGTTTCTTGTGCGTAAGATCTTGCCCGCACCGGTAAAACACTGCTTTTCCTGGTGCAACGATTAGAACATTTTTAGCATCCGCAGGACAAAAAATTTGGAACCATCCAGAGCCTGTTTCTGAACGAAGTAAAATTTAAAAAGAGTTTGGAATTTGTTTGATTTTTCGAATATGTTTCGTGACAAAAGTATGAATTTTCCAATTTTAATGTTAAGAAATTATCTCCAACGTGCAAAGCCGCGCAAAAAAATGCGCAACTTCTCAACGTCATCCAATGTAAGGCTGTAATTTTGGACATGTATAGAAAGAGCCTCAGTTATTAAGTGGGCAAAATTTCAATTCATTTGGACATTTCGTTCATTTATCGAATTTTTTTAAATTTTCTAATGAAAAGGAAAGTTTTCCTAACGTGCACAACTGCCTCTAAAAATTCGCAGCTTCCAAAGTTGATCCCTCAAAAGGCTGCAATTTTGTTTTGTGACTCACAGCTTGAAGCTCACAAACTTGAATAGCTGAAAAACTGCAATTTGGACGTACATTGGAAACCTTAGTATTTGGAAAGCTTAGTTATGAATTGTTTAGAATTGGGGTCGATTGCAAGCATTTCTATGTTTTTCGGAGCACATTCCCAACCATGCTCCTCTCTGCAAAAAGGTTCGACCCTCCCAATCTGAAGCAGATAGAAGAGTTAAAATTTCCAGGATTTCAGCTGAAGCTTTAACTAATATGGGATGCAATTAGGAATCAGTCAATATACAGTCTTCGGTTAGTTTCAGGATTGTTTCTTCAAGAAATAACGTCTTTCAACGTCTCAAACGCGCACGTCTGCGGTTAAAAATGCACAACTTTCAAATTTGAGCCGATTAAAGGGCGATTTTGCGGATGCCTACAGCCAAGGCCTTTGCTAGTTGGTGTACAAAATTTCTATTGATTTCGATGTCCGATTCAGCCCAGAAATTTTTTTTATTTCGAAGTAATTCAGCAAATAGTCTGAAAATGTTCGCCAGCAGATCAAAATGTCGAGAACTCAGAATGCGGCCAGAATCAACTGCTAACATTTTACAAACTTACAGTAGAAGTCCCCCTTATTACGTGCGTAAAACTCCAATTGATTTGGAGCTTCTTTGAAGTTCCYGGAWTTTTTYCAATTTCAGCTGTAATTYATAAAATTGCCTCAAACCTGACAMAAGTAKGAATTTTCCAATTTCAATGTTAAGAAATTATCTCCACGTGCAAATTCGCGCARAAAAATGAGTAACTTCTYAACGTCATCCAATGTAAGGCTGTAATTTTGAACATTTAWAGAAAGAGCCTCAGTTATTATGTGGGCAAAAAAATTGAAGTCCCCTTATTACGCGCGTAAAACTCCAATTGATTTGGAGCTTATTTGAAGTTTCTTGGATTTTTTCAATTTCAGCTGTAATTCGTAAAATTGCCTCAAACCTGCGCTACTTAAAAATTCCCAACTTCCAAACTAAACCCGCCATAAGGCCGCAATTTATGAAATTTTTAGCAAAAGTCTTAGTTGAATTGAATTTAGATCTCCCTTCAGTTTCAACAATTTTTGAAATTTTTAGTTAGTCAGAAAACCACCTTAAGCGGCCTTAAAATCCTTATAACTCCTATGCGACAGCTGCTATAGTTTAGCTAAGTTATAATCGTCAGTTATAATGTGAAGCAAATTTCAACTAAAACTGATTAATGGATCAGGTTTTGGATTTTTTAAAGTTTCCGCTAGACTGTAAAAACTGGTCAAAACTCCAAATTGGGCTTAAATACAAGGACGGTGTTTTGTTATTCAGGTGGCAAATTTGCAGCCGATTCAAAGCTCTCCTGCGGATTCTCGGAAAAAAATCGCAACTCTGAAATAACGAACGGTATAAGGCTGCAATTTTCGAATCTGGTAAAAGATGCCTTAGTTATGGGGTATAAGAAAATGTATTACAATTTGTCATTTTGTTTAGTGTTTATAATTTTTTGATTTTATGCCAGTCGGCTCCGCGCCCTGATAGTGTGTTTGAGCACCCAAACTTGAGCAACTGTAAACCTGAAATTTTCCCCTGTGATGAAACTTGCAAAGCAGGAATCAATTCAAAGCTTTCGTCGATTTTTGGCCAATTTTCCGACTCCAGCTTCTGTTCCAGGCTCGCTTTCTTCTATGCCAGCCGTCCACACGTTTGCCGTTTACGCCACCATAGCGGTGGCTTTTGACTTCATTTTCCAGATTACTGCCTTTTTGGCTCTGCTCAGTCTGGACCAGAAACGATACGACGTGAGTGGCTTTTCTGAAAAAACAAATGTACCCCGTTTTTTACCGAATTTTTTACCCGAATTTTAACCTTCCAGGCTAATCGACTGGATGTGCTGTTTTGCATCAAACTCCACACCCAGAAAACCAACAAGCCGCCAATAATTTCCACGTTTTGGAAAGAAAAGTTCACTCCAATTATCATGAAGTAGGCAAACAATGCATGAAAAACCCAGTTTCTAACTCTCTGGGCATATTTGCAGGTTCCCAGTTAGGGTGATTATTCTGATAGTCTTCCTGATTTCCACCAGCATTTGCGTTTCGATTGCACCTTCAGTTGAGCTGGGTTTAGAGCAGGAACTATCCATGCCAACCGATAGCCATGTGCTAAAATACTTCCAGGTAAGCGGCCGAATTCCCGCTGGAAACACTGGATGATTGGGATTTTCAGTACTTGAGCAAACTGCTAGGCACCGGACCTCCGATCTACTGGGTGACGAAAGGAAGTGTAGATTTTACCAGCTTGGAAGTCCGCAACAAAATGTGCAGCGGAGTTGGTTGCGATGATAACTCCATAGTGACTCAGTTGTATTTGGCAGCGCAAGCTAAAAACATGTGAGTTGTATGGAGTTTTTGTTCAATTAATCTTAGTATGACTTTTGCTTAAACAGAACATACGTTTCCACGCAAGCGAACTCTTGGCTGGACGATTTCCATGACTGGGCTAATTCCTCTCAGTGCTGTAAAGAGTTCATAACAAATTCCTCCTTCTGCCCTCACACTTACACCACTGATCTCTGCTGGTCTTGCAATTTGAGCGCTGGCGACTTGGACTATCCGAGTAATTATTCCAGATACTTGCCCTATTTTCTCATGGATAATCCTGACTCGTCTTGTGCCAAAGGAGGACATGCTTCCTACTATCAGGTGAGGTTTACTCAACAAATTGCAGCCTTATATTGGGTCAAGTTTGCGAGTGTGTGCACTTTAAGGCATAAATGAGCTCGGGCGAGGCCCTTTTGTTAGAATATGAATTAAATCTTCAATATCATTGACAATTGCCGCACTTATTGCCGAAAATAAGCGCGTAAAATTTCACTGGTCTAGTTTGAGATTTCTCTACTGTTTCACCGAAAATTTGCAATATTTTTTTCGAGAATACAGAAGGTTTAAAAATTCCAGAAAATGACCCACAATCAATCAATCTCCATCATATCAATCATCATATTCCAAATTAAGGCCTTATGTCGGCTTAAGTTTGCAAGTTATGAATTTGTTTAAGGCACCGGTTGGTACGTTTGGAACCATTTCTTGAATTAGAGCGCAACTTCAAAAAAA